ATAAAAAACCAAAACTATTAGTTCGGTTTCGGTTTTAATCAAAAACCGAACCAAATCGAACCATGTTCACCCCTATAACCCTTGTTCCATTAAAGTTTTAACGAGGTAGTCTTTTCCTTGCATATGTCAAGGCTAGTTATGGTATGTTTGGCTAATTTGTCGCTTTCAGTCCCTACTTTAGGTTTTCTATTTTAAGTCTAAATAAATTCTCAAATTCAATTTTCTTCTTTATTATTCCAATAATTATTTACTTAGTATTTCTAATTCGTTTTAATTAATTAATTTAATTATCTATAAACAAAACAAATCATTTTTGACAAAAAGCAGGATGTTCCGTATTTCAGAAGATATTATTGATCTTGTTCCTTCGATTCAAACGGAGGCTTTGGATTTAAAATGGTCTGATAATAGACCTATTATTCCTCATCATTTCATTTTTGATTATGGTGCAGTTCCTTTCAAGTTTTTTAATCCATGGGCAACTTAGGAATGTTTTAATGATATTGTCACTAATGCATGGAAATATACGACTGTTTCTTTTGGTTGCCTTTTCTCGTGTTTCAAGAATAAATTTAAAAATGTCAAGTGTAAACTTAGAGCATGGGTGGCTGATGACAGAGATAAGTGAAATGGTCTAAAGAAGAAATAGGTGTCTAGATTAGCTTAGATTGATTCTCAGATTGATGATGGGGGTGGGTCTTTGGATTTTTTGATTGAAGCACGTTCGTCTTTGATTAAAAGCCTTCAAAAAAAAAAAAAAAATACGAGGCTTCTGATTTAGCTCAAAAAGAAAAAATTTAACCGGGGCCAAGGAGGGAGATGAATATTCCAAAATGTTTCATCGGTTGTTGAAGTGTAAACGTCGTCAAATGGCGGTTTAACGTATTCTTGTTGATGGTGTTTGGATTACAGATCCGAGTGCGGTTATAAATGAATTTCATAATTTTTTCGTGACAAATTTAAGAAGTTTGAGGACTCGATTTTGAACCATAGAAGCCCTCATTTTGGGAGTCTAACCCGAGATAAAAAAGAAAGGCTTGATAGGTTGTTTTCTGAATATGATATTAAACAAGAATGGGATTGTGTAGGTGATAAGGCCCTATAGGTTTAATTTTCATTTTATTTAACTTTTCTGGGATCTTTTGAAGCGTGATATCTTCAACTTCATGAGAGATTTTTGGAATCAAAAATACATTCCTCTGGGATGTAATTCTTCCACTTTACCTTTGATTCCTAAGGTGAAAGATCTATGGATGGTGAAAGATTTTAGACCTATTAGTCTTATTGGAGTTATTTATAAGATTATAGATAAAACTCTTGCTAATCGTCTAGCTTCAATTGTGGCCTCAGTGTTTAGTGTTCAACAATCCACCTTTATAAAAGGTAGAAAAATCTTGGACATGCCTTTGTTATTAAACGAATTGGTTTCGTTGTGCAAGAAGGTGTGAAGAAAACCATGATTTGTAAGGTAGATTTTGAAAAAGCTTATGATTTAGTCTCATGGGATTTTCCTATCAATGTGATGTATTTTATAGGGTTTGGTCCTAACTAGATTTCGTGGATCATAGCTTGTCTTGTTTCCTCAAAGTCTTCGGTTTTGGTTAATAGAAACCCTACAATGGAATTTCACTTGGAGAGAGGTCTTAGATAGTGAGATTTATTATCTCCTTTTCATTTTCTTATTATCATGGAGACCCTAAATGTCGCTATGTCAGATGTGATTACCTTGGAGTTTTTTAAACCTATAAATATTGGTGTCAATAAGATTCTGATTTCTCATCTACTTTATGCAGATGACGCCATCTTTATAGGTGCTTGGACAAGACAAAATGTTAAACAACTTATTCTTATCTTAAGATGTTTTTATGAGGTTTCAGGTCTTCAGATCTATGTTCATAAATCAAAGATTTTTTGGGTCAGTGTCACTGATTTGGAGGTTCATGGTTTTGCAGGAACATCGGGGTGTAAGGCTACTTTTTTCCAATTTAAGTATCTTGGTGTTCCGGTTGATCTAAATATGCCCCATATTAAAAGTTGGACCCTATTTTCGACATATTTAAATCAAAATTTTATGGTTGGAAATCTAAAATGCTTTCAGTGGGAGGGATGTATACTTTAATTCGCTCAGTGCTTGGCTCTTTGGGTATTTATTATTTTGCGCTCTTTAAAATGCCGATTAAAGTTGTTGAGGTTCTCGAGTCTTCTAGAGCTAAATTCTTTTTGGGGCATATCAAGATGAAAAACACATTTCATGCGTTAAATGGAAGCTGATTTTAGCCTCTAGAATTATTGGAGGGTTGGGCGTGGGAAGCTTGAGGGCTTTTAATGAAGCATTGCTGTTAAAATGGAGATGGAGGATAGTCAACAACCTAGAAGCGTTATGGTTTCAAGTTATTAGATCTATTCATGGTCACAATGCAAGGTTCGATCTTGGTAAACATTGTTCGGTAAAAAGGTGTTTGGTCTTCTATTGTGGATTCAATTTTGAATCTTCATTCTAGACAAATTATCCCACTGTCTTATCTGAAGAAATCTATTGGTGATGGTAAAAATACTGGCGACTCTAGAACAGAATCGTATATAGTTCACTATTTAAATAAACCGATATATAGAATTAAAATAGTCAAAAATATGTATATGAGTAGCGGGTCGGGTCGTATAAGGAAAAACAATTTCAATCTCTAGCAACTGTATCCGACGAAGTCTAATATCTTTAAATATTTTGACAACTGAATCATTACTCACACTATATAAAACAATTTTTTTTTAATATATGACATAAACTATAACTCAAAAATTATATTGGGTTATTTTCTTAACGTGTATTTAAGTATTTGAGCTATTGAGATATAAGATATGAGTTTTAAAAATTATGAGTTATATTCACTTTTTTGTCAAACAATTTAAGGTAGGTTACTTATAAATTTTTAGATGGTTCATAAATAGATTATATATATTACTTGTATAAAAAAAGAATTAACTAGGTCAAGTTACCCACCTTTCCAATATGTATAATTGCCACTAAGTAAAAATACATTTTTTTAGAAGGATGTTTGGATTGGGAATAATTCTTTTGAAATAACTTATCCGAGATGGGCGGCTCTTGATGTTAATGTTAATTGTCTCATTATAGATATACATGAAGATGGGGATTGGAAATGGAGATGGAGATCAGATCCGAGAGGTCAAGCTCAATATGGACACCTCTCAACATTGTTAAAAGATTTGGATAATGTTACCTTTACTAGCCATAAGGATGTTTGGGTATGAGATATTGCTAAGAATGTTGACTTTTCCATTAAACACACAAGGTTTTGTAATCGATGATTTTTCTTTGTCTCTTGGTGTGCAGGAAATAAGGTTGAATAAATTACTCCCTATTAAAGTAATTATTTTTTGTTGGAGACTTTCCTTGAATTGGATTGCCACTAAAGATAACTTACTGCTTAGCTCTCTTTGTCCTATATGTATAGATCAAGTTGAGACAGTTGATCATTTATTTAAGAAGTGTGTGGTAGCAAAAACTTTAATTTTGAACCTGAGTCGATGGTGTGATATTGGTAACTCTTTGTTTACATTGGTTGGGGGTTTCAAGTCTTTCTTGGATGTGACGCACTTGTCCTCTAGTAAAATATTGGTGTTTGGGGTTATTTTTAGCACAACCTGGTGGACTATTTGGAAATTCAGAAACAAATGTGTGTTTGATCATACGAGACGTAGAAAAGATAGAGTATTTGATGATATTGTTGTTTTTTCTTTTAATTGAGTTGTTCACCAGAAAAATAAATTCTGTATTTCTTGAAATTTATAGCTCCAAAATTCTATTTTGAACATTTCGATGTAATTGTCTCGTTTTAGGTGTAGCTCCTTGATAGGTTTTTTTTATATATCTATTCAGCCGTTCAGGAAAAACAACATGTTCGAAAAAAGCTTGTCACAAAACTATGTGTTGCATGTACTTGATGGTGACTTTATTACAAAAAGAGTGTTTTTGGTATATGCTAGTGATTAAACTTTTATCAATATTGTTTTACCAGAGACATCTATGATTCCACTGTGGATTTAGCCCAAGATTTGAAATAGTCATTATGCTTTTTTCATTGAATTTCGATTCCTAACACCTAGTTTTCGAGTTTAATAAAAAAAAAGAGAAAATAAAGTAAGGAGAGAAAAAAAATAAAGAAAGAAAAGGAAAATAAAATTTTCTTTTGTGTTTCCGAGTTTGAAAGAAGTATTAATCATTTTGTTCTTTCTTTTCAAATCCTCCCAAAATCGGAAGAAAATTTAGAAGAAAAAATAATCTTTCCATTTCAATCAACTTTCTTTTATTTCATTCATTTACTAAAACTCGGAAACACCAATTTCTGTTATTTTCTTTTTATTTCCACTAATTTCCTTTTTTTCTAGTTAAATTGAACTCAAGAACAAAAAGTAATAGTTATCTGATATTTTTTTATTAATAATATCAATAAATAATGTTTTGAAGTTAGGCATTCTAACGAGAAAGAGAGGTCTTGTGGGGCATGATCACGTGTTGGCTTTGCCGAGTTTTTTTTTTTTTTTTTTTTAATATATTAATATATATGTATATTAAAGTTGTGATAGATTTTAACAGTAAACTGTTGAAAATCTATCCAACTTTCGTCCCTCTATTTTTCTTTCTTATTATCTGCCAGATGTGTTAGATTTTCAGGGGTTATTTTGCAAATTTTCGTGATCCTTTTCAACGTGGCTGAAGGCTGTTAGTTTAGTTTTTTTTATGGAACGGACATGGCAATCTAAGGATGTTTCTCTTTCTTTCCTCATCTTCTTTCTTCTCCGTTTCTGTTTGTTTCTACTGAATGTTGCTAAATCATCTATTTCATTGTCGTGTCTCTCTCTCTAAGGTAAAAAAATTCGTCCCTTCTTCCTATTTTTCATCTTCTCTGGTTTGATTGCTTCGTTTATTTCTGTTGTGTTGTCGTCTATCTATATGATGTCGGCCTCCTCGAAGCGGAACCATGACGCCAGTGCTTCGTCGTCTTCTGCTGTTCAGATTGGTCGATGGCCTTTCGGTTCTTCCTGAGTACATTGATAATGGTGACTGTAGCTGGGTGTGTGAATATTGCGGTGCGTTTTTCTGGTACGTCGAGAGGACTCCTAATATGTCCACAGTTGCTCACCCAAGGTATAACCATTGTTGTAGAGGTGGTAGCATTGTTCTTCTGTATCCGTCTAGGTTTTCGTCTCAGTTTATTCGCCTGTATGAAAGTCGGAAATTTTTAAACGATGTTAGGGCTTACAATAGTATGTTTTCAGTGACTTCTTTTGGGGCAAATGTAGATGACGACGTCAATGATAGTCGTGGCCCATATGTTTTTAAGGTCTCCGGACAGATCAGTGATAAAATTGGGTCCCTTTCGGCAGACCCTGCAAAAGGACCGAGGTTTTTGCAACTATACTTATTTGATACGGATAACGAGGTTGAAAATCGGTTGAGGGCTTTTGACGGTCCCAGACCGCCGACTTTGGATTCAACTGTTATTGATTATTTGAGTCGGTTTTTAGCTGAAAGTAATGAATACGTTCGGACCTTCAAGAACGCAAAGCAGATAGCTGAAGAAATGGATTTGGAATCTTATGATGTCTGACTATTCAATCACATTCAGGATCGTAGATATGACCTTCCTTTACCTGGGTCGTTAGGATGTATAGTCACCAGCGATGATACAACATCTACCACATATGACATAATTATTCACTCACAACAGTGTCATCCACAGCGCATCAGTAAGCTCCATCCCAGCTATATGCCTCTACAATATTCGCTTTTGTTCCCTTCTGGTGAGGAGGGTTGGTCTCCCCGTTTAAAGCTTGGCAATCGGAGGGGTGCGAATGCTCAGAATCTAACTGTAAATATGTATTATGCGTATCATGTCCATGCCCGTCAGCATATATGGTCTCCAATTATCAACTCATCACGTCTCTTTCAGCAATATTTGGTGAAGGCATATACGTGTATAGAGGAAAGTCGGTTGGATTACATTGTAAGACATCAATCAAATCTTCGTTCGGATTATGTTAGTGGCCTATACGATGCTCTTTCCAAGGGTGATAGAGATGTAGGGTCCATTGGAAAACAGGTTTTTTTGCCAGCATCATTCACCGGAGGACCCCGTTTCATGTACAGTCATTATCTAGATGCTCTATCCATATGTAGGGTGTATGGTAATCCACAGTACTTTATCACCTTTACATGCAACGTCAAATGGCCAGAGATCACCCGGTATATGGAAACACATCATCAAATCGATACCCATAGTAGAGTGGACATAATTAGTCGAGTCTTCAATATAAAAGTTCGTGAGTATAATCCGGTTTCTTAAAGAGGACAAAACCTTTGGCAATGTTGAAGCATGTATGTTCCCCACTTGGCTACTCTTTTCCATTACATCCGATGTTATCTGTATTTTATCGCATTTTATATATGTATCTGGCTTCTTCAATCTGGCTTATGTATGTTGAACTGTATGTATTGGTATCTTCTATATAAAATTTGTTTTCTTATAGTAAACCTTTCGCACCGTGCTCATTCTGTTAACCGTGTTTTCAGTTCTTCTAGACTACATATGATTGCATATCCTGATATCCGCTTCTTACTTATGAAATTATCATGGCATTAATACATTCCCCTGTTTGCAGGATTGTTATGAGTTATGTAGTTACTTTATATATCGAAAATAATATATAATTGAAATTGGTATTTTTGGTTACTAAATGTACTATTATTTTCTTTTATAAAAAAAATAATTCTAAATACCCCTGTGTCTTTGTATTATTTTCGCATGATCAATATCTTCCTCTATAGTAGATTGTCTGCCCCTGTTCTCATTGTTTAATTCGGTTATAAACGCGCATTTTTTTCTACCTTCACCTGTTTCCCATGTTTCAAGTTTACTGCAGTTTCACAACTTTGTTTGAAACAGGATAAGATTGCATTGCAAATATTTACGGAATTGTTTAATACGTGACAAAACTTAAAGAAAGAAAACCCCTCAACTTTAGAGGATATGATTTTTTACAAATTCACCTTTAGCTTTTACATGATTGGATAGAAAAAGTTAAAAACCCTAAATATATTGAATCACTCTCCTTCAAGATACATGAAACAGTTACTTTTTGTATTTATTGACAGATCTTATAAATATGGAATTAAAAGTCAAAACATTTACATGGTTTTAAATCAGCTTGCATACTGCAAGGGTAGTTTTGGAATTTTACAGTTTTTTGTTTTCTAACTGAAAAAAAGGTTCTTTACTTTTAAGTTTTTTGTTTTCTTAAATATATCTTCTTATTCAGTAGTTTGCGTTTTCTTTATCATTTTCATTCAGTTGAGTAAGAAAATTATTTTCATTCTTTTTTTGTATCATATGTACCTCCTTATTCAACATATTCCATTGAATTCAGCAATTAAAATCTGTTGTATCTTACTGTACTCTTATCTATTTAAGTTTTTTTCCAAAAAGATATGCTTTTCTTTTCACCCTTTACCCATTCTACGTTTCTGTTATCACCTCACACATTTTATTGCATAAGCTTCTTTATGTACAAACTAAAAAACACAAACACACATACATACTGCAGGGGTTGTTATGGAATTTGACTATTTGTTAAATATAATTTCATATTCAACACTTTTTGCATTCTTTATCATTTTTATTTTGTTAGTTAACTGAATGATTGTCAAACCTTTTTGTATCGTATATACTTCGATATTGAGCTGACCCACTTGAATTCAGCAATTAAATTCAATTGTATGTTGTTGTATTCTCATGTATTTAAATTTTTTTTAAAAAGATATGTTTTTTTTAACCTCTACCTATTGTACATTTCTGTTATTACCTCACGTATTTCACCGCCTAACCTTATTCTTTATGTACAAACTAAAAGACAGAAACACACACACATACTTCAGGGGTAGTTTGGGAATATGACTATAACCTTCTTCCTTATGTAGAAACTAAAACACATAAACAAACATACATACCACACGGATACTTTTGCACAATCAATGTTGAATGACTATTAACTGAAATAAACATTATTTACTTTCCAATATTTTTTTTGTAGAATATAAGTTCTCATTCACCACTTTCTGCCTCCTTCATTATTTTGATTTTGTTACGTAAACAAAATTATATTTGATTTCCAATATCTTTTGTATCATATATACCATCTTATTGACCCGATTCCGTTAACTTCAGCCATTTAAATTTGTTGTATGTTGTTCCAAAATTATTCCTGTTATGATTTATTTATAAAAATATAGCAGGTAGTTTTTTACACAAAATCTCATGCGTAAACCCGTTTTTATCGGTTCACCAGTTTTGTAATTACTTTCAAATGTACATCTGTATATATATCTTACTCTTTTATCTGTTGTTACGGATATGTATTATTTGTTTATTTTACCTTTGTATATATATCTAATTTTCAATGTCCATTTTAAATCTACATTATTGTAGATCTTTACACTATCGAATTCCAAAAAAGAGGACTTCCACATTGTTATACGTTACTATGTGTATCAGCAAAGGACCGTAAAAAATTGTGAGCGATGTTGATAACTATATAACAGCCAAGCTGCCAGATCCGGTTAATGAGTCAAATTTGTACAATACCATAACAACCTGTATGATCCACGGCCCATGCGGACCACTTAACCAAAAGGCAGCATGTATGAAGGAAGGAAAATGTAATAAACACATTCCCAAACCGTATCTCGATGCTACATTTTTTGACACAGATGGATATGTACGTTACAAACGTAATTCGACTGCACACCACACTACTCTATTTGGACAGATTGTTGATAATGGATATGTTGTACCATACAACAAAAGACTATGTTCGCGGTTCCGTACGCATATAAATGTGGTGTATTGTGGAGAACTGTTCTATTTACGGATGCTGGTGTGTCACCAGAAAGGATGTACGTCGTTTAAGGATTTGCGTACTGTAGTTGGAACTGTATATCCAACTTTCAGAGCTGCCTGTAATGCACTTCAATTAATAGGTGATGATGTTGAGTGGTTGGCGTGTTTTACAGAAGCTGCAACGTGGGCTACCGCCTCACAGCTATGATCGCTTTTCTGTTACCTGCTCCTTTTCTGTGAGGTCAGCAATCCACTTCTGCTGTGGAACACTGCTTGCGATAGGATGAAAGATGACTATATGCATACCGTAAGTGTTCAGGTAACAGATAAGACAATAACCTCTTTGGCAGGGATTGTTGAACAACAATTACTTCATGATTTAGATGACATGCTCCGGTTTGCTATGCCTTCCAAATCAATGAGAGACTTTGGGCTTCCTGTTCCGTCAGTCGATGTCACTGGCATTCTACAAAATCGGCTGTTATTGGAAGAAATGAGCTATGATAAGGAAGAGTTACGAAAACAGCACAGTGACCTTGTACGAAAGCTAAATCACCATCAACGATTAGTGTACGACAATGTTGTCTCTTCCATTAACAACAACAAACAGGTACTAATATTTGTGTATGGACACGTTGGAACTGGTAAAACGTTTCTATGGACGACCATTATTTCCCACTTAAGATCTATGGGAAAATCACTTTGGTTGTCGCTGCGTCCGGAATAGCATCGCTTCTTTTACCGTCCGGTACAACCGCACACTCAAGGTTCAAAATACCGATCGATTTAAACAATAAAAAATCATGTGACATCAAAAAGCGTACCTTCCTTGGCAATCTTTTACAACAAACAACACTCATACTATGGGACGAGGCACCAATGAGTGATAGAAAATGTTTTGAATATTTAGACCGTTCACTTAGGGATGTGTTGGCCTGTGAAGAACAACCATTTGGAGGAATATCGGTCCTTCTTGGTGGTGATTTCCTTCAGATCCTACCTGTAGTACCAAAAAGTACCCGTTCAGAAATCAAAGGACTCAGTCTACCGAGTTCGTATTTATGGCCATATTTTAAAATTCAGTTTCTCCATACGAACATGAGACTTGAACCCTCTGATACAATACCCCACTCCTCGATGAATTTATCTAACTTTGCCAGATGGCTCCTAGATATTGGTGATGGCCATATTGGTGCGCTTGACAAGGATGACCCACGAGACTCAAGCTGGGTACAGATCCCGCCTTCGCTCCTAATATCACCTTCCCCTAATTCATTACAGACCTTAATGGATTTTGTCTATGGGGACGACATACTTAATATGCCGACTGCATCACAACTTTCAGCAAGGGCAATAGTTTGTCCCACAAACGACTCAGCGGACGAGATTAACTGTCAAGTTTTGAAATTAGTCAATACACTTGCGAGGGTATACAATAGTACCGACTCCATGCAACCCAATGGAAAACATACATCGGATTTGGAAGGTCTGTATCCGATCGAATATCTAAACCAACTAACTTTTCCAGGAATCCCACCTCATGAGCTTCTACTTAAGATTGACTGCCCAATAATGCTTTTATGAAACATAAACCAGAAAGAAGGTTTATGCAACGGTACCAGATTGATTGTTTCACAACTATTACCAACCGTCATTGAAGCAACAATCATAACGGGCACCTCGATCGGAAAATGTGTGTATATACCCCGCATAAAGTTCATACACAATTCATCGGATTTACCTTTCGTCTTTTCACGCAAACAGTTTCCAGTCAAAGTCTGTTACGCAATGACCATCAATAAGAGTCAGGGTCAATCACTACGTAAGATTGGAATCTATTTGCCACAGCCTGTTTTTGCACATGGCTAGCTTTATGTTGCCCTCTCCCGAGCAACATCACCAGATTCAATAAGAATATTGCTTACCGGCACAGCGGCACTGATAGCTGTAGATCAAACGAAACAAAAAATGACATTTCCAGAGATTTACTACATAAACTTATTTCAACAGAGGTCTACAGTATCACTCCTTGTCAAGCTTTTGAACAACATTACTGCTTTTACATTTATTGATATACAAATTTTCATTTTCACAACCCCAACTTATTTTTTTTATTTTATATTCACACTCAAATATAGACCTTACCTGTATATATTTTTTTTATATCAGGGAACACAAACAGCAAATGACGATAATTTCTGAGCTGAAAGTTGAGGGTATTGGAGGCCCCTTACAGGTTAGAATACTACGCAAATGGAAGCACGATATCCGACAGTACGAAACGTGGTACCTAGTCGTCGACAAATACGTAAGCTCATATAGAAATACCAATTTTTTCCTTGCCCAAATAAACACGTTTACTTAACACATGATGCAAGTATACAAAAACAAAAACACGATGACTGCCATTGAATCTAATATAAAGATAATATCTTTCTACAGTCAGATGCAATCCAAATTCTTGGACAACGAACAAACCAGAGCTACATTAAATCTGTTTTAAATGTTTCCGAATGTTATATTACATCGGATTATAGCTGTCCTGAATTAGACAGGTATCAGAAGGTTCTAGAAAACGATATCTATGTTGATGTTGGTCTCAATTCCATTATACAACGAATTCCGGACACAATCACAATTCCAAAAACCTGGTTTCGATTCGTTTCAAATCCACAACTGATTGAACTTGGAGAAGCACCATCATACTATCCAGGTTTTGACTATCTTATCTATATAACCAAAATACAAATATGTACTACACATTACCTGTATAGAATATAGAACTTATTTTTACCACTAAATTACTAACTTCTATAATATTTTCGTTACTACCTGAATATATTCAATTTATATGAAAACCGACATAAGTTAGTAACTTACCAACGAATACATGGGTCCATTTTACACCATAAATAACCACTTCCATCCTCTCAAAGTTGTTAGCACGGACAACAGCTCATGCATTTACTTACGAACAGACTTCAAAGGCGTTCTTTCGAAGATAAGGGATTGCACAAAAGCAAATGGAGAACCATTTGTATTGCTTATACTAAGTGACGAAAGATATATATAGTAACCACCAAAAGACACACATAAAACTCATTATCCCTAACTAACGACATACAAAATCATATTCTATTAGTGGCAGTGAACTCGCAATTAATCTATGGAAGGAATGTATAACAAATACAAAGAAATTCAACCGCGACTCCCTAAATCACCTATCTGCAACAACTGTTGTTGCGGTAACGAACCTAAAACCGTCAAAATCCTATGGTATCGTCTTCTGCAAGCTTACATATATATATATATATATATATATATATATATATATATATATATATGTGTGTGTGTGTGTGTGTGTGTTTGTGTGTGTGTGTATGTGCATCACTACTATTATACCACATCCACTAATACCCTTAACGATAAAATATCATCGGTACAGGAGTGTTACGGCACAGATCGTCACATGCAACGCATATCTATGTGAACCCCAATATACCGGAGACAACAACACTCATAGATCTGTGAGTCGCATAAATTACCGAACTTTTTTACCATATATATCAATGAAATTGTATACCAACAGCAACAACATTACAGATACACAGGTCCCTCAAGGCCAATGCCTACGTTATCGGGAACACTCGCAACCTTATACCAAATAAAACTTAAAACGAAATCCGACCTACTGGTAAGACGAAAACAATGCTATTACTATTTACTAACACAGTCAGTTTAAGATTGTCACGTTTGATAACTTTCCTTTTATAGGACAAAACTTTCATAGTGCACGGCTCGATCAAGGATTTTCACTTCCAAAACACTTGGTACCAAACAATATGTCCAATCTGTAAAGATCCGATTTTCAGAAGAGGCCCCCAGTGGTTCTGTAGTGCACATGGACTAATAGAAAAGCCAGCCTACATGTAAGCATTTTCCAATTCACACAAATATACCACTACTCGCTAATCATAATATTTACATATTTTTTATAAATATAGATACAAGATGATTGTTACAATTGCCGACCCAACGGATACCATACCCGCAATACTATCTGAAACATCATGTCGTAAGCTATGAAAATCATCACTCAATCAATTCATATCCGACAACCCACTCACTAACAGGAACACCCTGCCTTCAATCATGACAGATCAGAAGGAACAAACGATGACGATGTGTATCCAAATGCTGAGAGCATCAACTCCTGACAATATCCGTTTCATAATAATCGACATCCAACAGTCACTTACACGACCGACGCCACCCGTCCCAGCAACACCCGCACAAACAATGACAAAAAGAATCCGATCGGAGAACGAAATACCTGAAGCAAGTGATTCTGCACGCCCTGTTGCACGCACCCTCACCTTTGCTCCACCAGGTAAAAGAAAATATTATCATGTCAAAAGTAAATGCCAAATTACAAAAAAAAAAAAATACTAATACTTCCTAAATTCCTCTATCACATGCCCACCAACAACAACATTTCTGGTGTTTCTGAAAAGGACCACGAAGTAACAACCAACAACAAAGAAGACCGTCAACTCCAACTTCTCATTCGGATACCAATTTTCCCTATGTAGTAAACAACAGTAACAACTATCCTATGTAATATAAACAATAATAAACAAACACCGTTTGCATAGTTCGAGACAACCATAATTTCACTAAACAACTAACCATATATAGTTTTTTAAATATAAAACATTCACCCAACAATATTTAATACTATAGATACAATGACATATACGGATTTAATATCATACCAAATCAGACAAAAATTACATAAATGAATACACTTTAATAACTCACCCCAAATGCTTCTACGATCAAAACGATAAATATAATAAAAACTACCGGAGTAGAGCACATATACCAATTCTGAATAGCAAATATTCTCCTTTTCCAAAACAAGGATATCTTCACTGGTCAAAGATCTCCCCAGATAGAGTCTATTTAATACCACACCGGTGAGAAACAATCAAATCCATCTATTAAAGGGAAAAAACGGTAGTCGTCGCCCTACATCTATAACAAATCAAAAAACTCATTAATGACTTCCAATAAATGCAGTCCAACTACCATAATCCTCGGTTATAAAACAACACACCAGATTGATCATCCTTCCACCAAAGACGAATCACCGAAGATGGAGACCATGATGGAAAAACTGCAAAACTAGCTCGAGACAATGCATGAAGCGCTTGCCATGGTCCAAAACACTTTCAATTGCATCAACCAAACAAGACAAAACATGATGAATGAAGCTCCAGATGAAATGCCATGCAGACATGTCGTCGTCACCAAAACCTTCATCAACGATCTCAATCAAGACACGGTGATCATGCTTGACATCTTCCAGGCAATGCAAGAGAACATGGCCTCAGCTACAGAGGTCTGCAAGAAAATCATCAAGGACCACCAGGTCCCATGAAGAAACTAAGCCAACTCTTTTGTACTCAAATGTCCAGTACCTAACTCTTAATGAATGGACGCTTTTGTAATCAAACACTAAGCAATGAATGATATCTTTTGATGTTTATGACGTGATGTTTTTATGTTTTCTCACTATTTCTTTTGAATAACTTAACGAAGCACGACATACGCTATAGACAAATTACAACCGATCCCCCTGCCCCCGCGAAGCGGGGGTAACAAATCTAGTTAAAATCAAAGTTGTTAGAATTCTTTTGGTTTTGAAGTTTTGCCACCATATTTCGCCATTTTAAGACTTTGCCATAAAGCTTTTCAATTTTGCAGTTTTAATACAATTGTTTTTGATTTTGGCAAATTTAGCCCCTATAACTTTTTAATTTACAGAAAAAGTCCCTATGATTTTTTTTACAAAAAACATACATATGTTTAATATTTTTTTATTTTGATAGGTTTGGCCCCTGTATAAAAACTAAATTATAAAAATTGTCCTTGTAATTTTCAAAAATAAGACATTTTATATTTTTTTTATAGAAACGGTCCATTAGTTTTAAAATATGTCAAAAATAGTCTCTAACCTAATAAAAAATTTGCAGATTAACCCCTCCCCGACCCTTCAATATATTATCATATTTCATCCCTACACTTTTTTAGTTTAACAGTTTGGCCACATGACTCTTGTATATTTGTAGGTTTGCTTCTTATACTTTTGGCGTTATGCAAAACTCTCATGCATCCCTTGTTTAGTTGTAAATATTTACAATAACCAAATTCTCATTTATGAGTTACATAGTTAAAACTTAAAAGTACATGATTTTACGCATAATGTACAATGGTTTGACGTGGGAAGTTCAAGTTTAATCCCTCAACTTTGTATAACTTGTCACTTGCAACCTCTATTTTGTATAATACATCATTTGCAACCCCTCTATTTTTTACCATGATATTTTTAATCCTATTATTTTTTTTAAATATCACTTTCAGCCCCTCTACCTTACACTTTGTAAAATATCACTTTCACTCCTTCATTTTCTAAACTTTTTGTTTATACACGTCCCCATAAAATTCATTATGGCTAATAATACAAGTGGTAACCCGTCTATTTTGTAAAATGATATTTTTCATCCATTTACTTTTTAAAATATCACTTTCACCGTCTTCACCTTCAACTTTGTAAAATATCACTTTCACCCCCCTCATTTTCTAAACTTGTGTGTTTTTTCCTTATCCCCGTAAAGTTCATTGTAGCTAATAGTACAAGTTGTAATGCATAATGTATAAGCATATTAATGCGTAAACTGCAACTTTAATCCATCAACTTTGTATAATCCGTCACTTTCAACCACTCTATTTAGTAAAATGGTATTTTTAATTCCGTACTTTTTAAAATATCACTTTCACCCGCTCCACCTTTAAAATTTTAAAATATTACATTCACACTTTGTTATCTAAACTTTCATGTTTATCCCATAGTATATATATATATATATATATATATATATATATATATATATATATAAGATTTTCACTCCACTATGTTGTTAAATGCATTTTCACCCCTCTTTTTTTAGAATGTTACTTTCACCCCTCTTTGTATAATATGGTACTTTTAACCCCCTATTTTATAAAATAATATTTTTCAACCCTTTACTTTTTAACATATAACTTTCATCCCCTCCACCTTCAACTTTGTAAAATACCACTTTCACCCGTTCATCTTTCATCCTCAACTTTGCATAATCTTTGACTTGCAACCACTCTATTTTGTAAAATGATATCTTCCCTCCTCTACTTTCCTAATCCGCAATAAAAACCTGTAGAAACTCACGGAAAATCGCTCTCTCAATTACTAGTTGTGTCTTATATGCAAACTATTGGTTGTGTACAAGTGGCTCTATTAAATCTAGAGTAGATTTTGAAACTTGGGTTCTTTGGACTTCTTAAGAAATAATGTAACGTCTTCATTTTCGACTCAAAATTTTCATTTTTATTTATTCAAATATATCAGAGTACAATTACATTAAGTGGAAACATGTTGCAAATGCGTATGTCTATAGTTGAGCCTTGTCGTTCTCACGAACCAATAAGGTACTTGACAAACATTTATAATCAACTGGGTAAGCACGAAGCATAGTGAGTTCCTCAAAATACCATATACCACAATACATATACAGTGCATACACATAATGGCTCACGACCTCTTTGTTGATCTACCAATAGAACATATAATTGCCTTCAGCATGAAGCTGGTCCGCCTCTTTGCTTTCAGCATGCATAAAGCTGGTCTTCTACTTTTTCCTTTACCATAAAGCTAGTCCGCCCAAGTCTATTGGTCTTCAGAATGAAGATGGGTTGCCCTCAACTCCCCCCCCTACACACACACACACACACATATATATATATAACAGACAACAATCCAACACTATAGGAAACTAACAAAACTAGCCTAATTGCACACTACAGGAAACTATATCCTATCATATAGAAGATATATATTGTAGCATATAATATAGTGAGAAAACCCACTTGAACAATTATTCAAACGATCAACAATTATCCTTCGGATGGTTCAACCGGTGGGTAAACCGTCTTTCAAGTATTAAAATATAATATTATAACTTACTAATATCTACAACGACCTGGTAGAAGTTAGATTCTTCACTAAAATAGTCAAAAAGTAATAATATGAGTAGCGGTTGGGGTCGTATAAGGAAAAACGATTTTAATCTCTAGCAACTGTATCCGACGAGGTCTAATATCTTTAAATATTTTAACAATTGAATCATTACTAACACTATATAAAGCAATTGTTTTAATATATGACATAATCTATAACTCAAAATTTATATTGGATTATTTTTTAATGGGTATTTAAGTATTTAGGTTATTGAGATATAAGATATTAGCTTTAAAAGTTATGAATTATATTCACTTCTTTGTCAAACAATTTAAGGTAGGTTAATTATAAAATTTTAGATGGTTCATAAATAAATTTTATATATTACTTATATAAAAAAAAGAATTAGTTGGGCAAGTGACCCACCTTTCCGATATGTATATTTGTCACTTGGTAAAAATCTTTTTTCTTTGGAAGGATGTTTGGATTAGGAATGACGCTTTTGAAATAACTTACCCGAGATTGCGGCTCTTGATGTTATTGCTAATTGTCTCATTATAGATAGACGTGAAGATGGGGATTGGAAATGGAGATGGAGATCAGATCGGAGAGATCGAGCTTGGTCTGTACACCTTTCAGCTTTGTTAAAAGATTTGGATAATGTTTCCTTTACTAGCCATAAGGATGTTTAGGTATGGGATATTGCTAATTATGTTGCCTTTTCCATTAAAGACACAAGGTTTGTAATCGATGATTTGTCTGTGTCCATGGTGTAGAGGAAATAAGGTTAAATAAATTACTCCCTATTAAAGTAAATATTTTTAGTTGGAGACTTTTCTTGAATCGAATTCCCAATAAAGATAACTTGTTGCTTAGCTCACTTTGTCCTATATGTATAGATCAAGTTGAGACAATTGATCATTTATTTGTAAGTTGTGGAGTGTATGGTAGCAAAAACTTTAATTTTGAACCTGAATCAATGGTGTGATATTGGTAACTCTTTGTTTACATCGGTTGGGAGTTTCAAGTCTTTCTTGGATGTGACGCACTTGTCCTCTAATAAAAGATTGGTGTTGGAGGTTATTTTTAGCACAACCTGGTGGACTATTTGGAAATTCAGAAATAGATATGTGTTTAATCATACGAGACCTAAACAAGATAGTGTATTTGATGATATTGTTGTTTTTTTTTAATTGAGTTGTTCACCAGAAAAATAAATTTCATATTTCTTGGAATTTATGGCTCCAAAATTCTATTTTGAACATTTTGATGTAGTTGTCTCGTTTTAGCTGTAGCTCCTTGCTAGGTTTTTTTATATCTCTTCAGCCATTCAGAAAAAAAAATAAAAAAAATAAAAAACAAATAAATAAATAAATAATAAAACATGTTCGAAAAAAGCTTGTCACAAAACTAGGTATGTGTTGCATGGACTTGATAGTCACTTTATTACAAAATAAGAGTGTTTTTCGTATATGCTAGTGCTTAAACTTTTATCAATATTGTTATACAAGAGACATCTTTAATTCCACTGAGGATATACCCCAAGATTTGAAATAATCATTACGCTTCTTTCATTTAATCCCGATTCATAACGCTTAGTTCTCGAGTTTAATAAAAAAATAAGAGAACAAAAAAAAGTCAGCAGAGAAAAAAAATGGAAAACAAAATTTGATTTTGTATTCCCAAATTGAAGAAAAATTAAATGAAAATTAATTATTTTGTATTTTCTTTTCATATCCTCTCAAATCGGGATAAAAATTAGAAGAGAAAATGATTCTTCCAATTCTCTCTACTACCTTCTATTTCAATCATTTAATAAAACTCTAATCATTTAATAAAACTCAGAAACGTCAATCTTTTTTTCTCATTTCCACAAATTTCCTTTCTTTTCGCTGACTAACTTTAACTCTAGAACAAGATTTAATAGTCATCGATATTTTTTATTAATAATATCAATAAATAATGTTTTGAAATTAGGCATTCCGACAAGAATGAGAGGTATTGTGGCGCATGATCACTTCTTGGCTTTTCCAAGCATTGATGTGTTTTTTTTTAATCTTGTATTATACTATATATTAAAAGCAAAGTTGGAATTCTTTTGGTTTTGAAGTTGTGCCACCGTATTTCGCCACTTTTAAGAATATTGCCATAAAGCTTTTCAGTTTTGGAGTTTTAATACAATTGTTTTGGATTTTGGCAAATTTAGCCCTTATAACTTTTTAATTTATAGAAAAAGTCTTGATTGTTTTTTACAAAAACAATCCATATGTTTAATAGTTTTTTTTAAAGATAATGACTTAGGAGGGTAATAAGGTTTTCAGTTTGTCCGTATTAGGTCACTAAGGTTTTTTTTTTTTTTTTTTTTTGCGTATTATACCAATATG